GGCCCGAATAAATGTATTTTAGGGTATAGATCACATGAGTTCATTAGAACTAAACTTCAAGTACCCAAGCCTTTATGGACAGACATGAAAAATTAAACACCATTTACAATATTGCTTTGGTAGAAAACCATATTCTAGGTTAGAAGCATTGTTTGTGGTCCAAACGAACTTCATAGAACATATGTTCTTTCTTACTTGGAGGTCTGTCATCAAACCCAGTTATTTCTATAGTTTCAAAGCTTTTGTGTCTCTTCTCTGACGAGATTTGGCCACTTCAGATGATAAAATGATTCTAATCCCTGCTGTAGGGAAATTAGTCATGATCCAAACCTAGCTGGTAATAGTTTTTTTCCCCATCATATTCCTACGTATGTATCTCATATAACCCTTCAGGAGTAGAGTAAATTCTTACAGTAGGAAGAAATAGCATATTCTCTCTGAGACTTGTACTTATCTCCTCTGTTTTCTTTCTCTGTTATTGCAGTATGTTGGAGAATCCTTTTAAGTCAATGACAGAGTGGTGAAGACAGAATCAACAAATTATTTGACTTGATTTTATATCTTCTTACTGGAATATATACCAGGTTGTTTTATGTTTACTTAGAGTGTTGGTAATTCTTGAGAACATATACAGCTCAATCTTATTTTAACTGCCCATTTTTTGAGTGCTTTTGTTGTTGGTTATGCCAATTTATTGTCTTGGAAATTGGTAGTGAACCTGTATATACGTGCCTGGCATGAGGAGGTGCTCAATAAGTATTTTTTAATGAGTTACTTTAAACCATGTTTTGTGTGCATATGTATGTATGCATGCATGTGTGTATTTGCATATATATATGCACACGTACAAACCAGTATAGATATTGTTAAACTATGTTTCTCTAGATTTAATTTTCCTATTTTTACCATTTCCCTATTTTATACCATTTTGCATAATAATTCAGACTTTTTAGTGTTTTGTGAACATTTATTTTCTTAGACTTCTGCATCACATTTACTCACACTTTTTCCCACTAAAAAGGGAATGTTTTACTAAGATATATTGTATGATACTCTAAACATTCATTTTAAAAGAATAAACTTTGGAAAGTATAGCTTTCACAAACCTTATTTCATGACAGTTAAGATTGCATCTTATGAATTTTACAATTGTGTTCATCTGTCTGGGTGATAGATATTTCTGGTGAATGTGAAATATATATGCAATGTGTTATTCAATCTTTATTCTTTCAGGAAAATCTCAATCTAAATATTACTGCATGTAATTTCTAACATGCAAAAATTCAGTTGAGTAAGGTATTATTGTTATTATTTTCTTATGAGAGGTGAGTATGTATTAGGTAATCCCCCATATTTTTTTTTTTGGCTTGGAATTCAGGCAGTAGAAGTGAGGTTGATATTTTACCCATGTTCTTGGCATAGATATTTGGTTTGTTGAGAGCAGACATTTTAATATATTTGCTTAATTTTTAGGAGTTTAGGCATGTAACTCAAAATAAAGTTTCTTGAGAATTGATAGGAAGATTTTCTTTTTACATCAAATATCCATTAATTACATTTTTTTAGAACACTGATAAAATCATTCTGTAAAATGGTAGAATTTTCCTATATGAAAAGCAAATTTTAGCAAAGCTATTCATTTGAGCAAATTCCAAGAAAACATTTTTCTCAGTTATGTTCAAGTTATTTTCCAAATCGTAAAAATAGGATTTTCCTTAAATTCTGAATTCTGATCATTTTGAGGAAAGAAATATATTTGAAACCTAAATTCAGAACACACTTTCTTGTTAGCAAGAAAGTCAGGCCAAAGATAATAGTAGTTAAGATCTTGTGGAAGGCAGATGGTTGTTGTAAGACAGATTTTTCAGTTTAGATTTTAAATTTAAGTATGATGTTTGCTTTCTTTCTGGAAATACCAGTAAGTTTGCTTTGTTTCATCTGCTACATGAATAGATAACTAAAAAAAAAAAACACACACGCTGACAAACACTGAATAATTTGGATTTGCTAATTTTTCTTAGAGACCCATTTATTTCAGAATGTCTAAAATAACATTAGGCAAATGTCTTCTGCCTTATATTGCATGTGCTCTTCTTTCCTTCTGCTTTGTTCAGACATCTCGTGGAGAATTTGACTCCAGTGAATTTGAAGTTAGGAGACGTTATCAAGATTTCCTTTGGTTGAAGGGAAAACTGGAAGAAGCACACCCCACTCTGATTATTCCAGTAAGTTTACAAGTTTTTGTCATAGAATACCTATCATTTTTTCTTGTGAATCTTTTAGAGTCACTTACACCTAATTTCAGGCCTTTAGATTCAGTGTAATTAATTTATCTTAGAAACACATTTATTTCTAAACTTTTCAGTCTGTGTACAGATTTGTAAATTTGTTTGTTTCAGCTATTGTGATATGTTATGATTTCACATTTTTGGTTCTAGTGTAGTGAATTTTTCTTTTTTTAAATTTTTACACTGACAAAGCAAAGGCAAGTAGTGTTGTGAATTTTTAAAAAATTATTTTTATAAGAAATGATCAGATGTTCAGTTAGTCTTCCAAGAACAAAAAGTATAAAATTCCTTGTAAACCTGCGTCCCATAATATAATGCTCAGAAACCTTTTTATTTATTTATTTATTTTGCTTTAGCCATTGCCAGAAAAGTTTATAGTGAAAGGAATGGTGGAACGCTTTAATGATGACTTCATTGAGACTCGTAGAAAGGCATTACATACGTTTTTGAACCGAATTGCTGATCATCCAACTTTAACATTTAATGAAGACTTCAAAGTTTTTCTCACTGCGCAAGCTTGGGTAAAGAATTTTTATTTATACTCACATAATCCTTTAGCATCTATATTTATAGTAGGTTGTATGCTTCCTCTTGTTTGCCTTTGCAAATCAGGCAGTGATGTCCTTGAATTGAGATGGAATTTTAAAAAAAACACCGAAGAGACATCCTTCAGATGTAACCTTGTTACATAGAAACATAATAGAAACATTATAGAAATCTTGTGTCTTCCTAATGTGCACATACTCTTATTTCTCTTGGTAGTTGAATTATTTTTTTTATAAATGTCAAGGTGCTCCTTGCATATATAGCCAGTACTGAACATATATAAATATATTTCTTTTATTGACACTATTTTGAATAATAAAGGGCCAGGGCTTTCAAGAGAGGACAAAAGTCTTTATTAAGTGGATACGTGGATGGATAGATGGATAGATAGGTAGATAATACTGTCTCCTTACTTTTCCTTCAATTACCTAAGTGAGGAAAGGGGTCTAATTTCTAATACAATAACCTTATATGTTCTGTTTCTTTTTTCCTTTCTTCTATAAAGCTATAAAGCTATAACTCAGCAAGACAGATCTCAGCGAGACAGATAATAGATAGGACAAATGGCTGATATCAAATAATTACTGGCCAATGTTGAATTTTAGCTATAACTCAGCAAGACAGATAATAGATAGGACAAATGGCTGATATCAAATAATTACTGGCCAATGTTGAATTT